CCCTCCGTTGATTTCTCCGCCTTGGCAAACAGCCCGTGCCCGAAAAATGCCTCTCTGTAAACGTGACACGATCACACTCGCGTGCTTTTGGCTCGCCTTTAGCTTTCCGTACCGTCGGCCCAATATCTGCCTGCCTTCTAGACCCGACCTCTCTGACAGCTGGCACTTCAGATTCGCAGATGGCCTCAGCCACCGTATCTGCTGCACCGTTATCGACTGCCACATCTGCCCCTAATTTTCGTGGATGCCGGAGGAGATGCCCAGCACCGCTACATACGTGTCCGCTCTCCCTTTTCAGCGTACGCGCGTCGGGCACGACCCTTACCGCGAGATCTTGATATCATCGCACAAGTGGACTGATCATGATCACAGCGTGTAACGCTCACGCTCACCTCACTTCCGCGTCTCTCCCTACACCCTTTATCTGCTGAATAGAATGGTTGAGACGTTGATATGAGGTCCGCGAATCGGCATCAGCCTTCGTCCGCGGAGCACAGCCCCGCATTAGCATATCTAGCCAACCTGCTCCCAGAGCCACCCATCTCTCGAGGAACATGAGTATACACCTCCGCCTAAATCACAAACAACCGGCATCAACTGTCAACATCATCCGGTACGTTCTCTCTGACTCCCAAATCCCAGTATCTTCCCTGGTCTTCTCATCGTGTGACAGCCAAAAATCACCATGACAAGCATGACAAGCCAGATCTGAACAAGACCAATCGGCTCCTGTCAAGCCACGATCGCTGTCGCTCTTCCCCGGAGCCGGCGGCAATACCTCGATCAATCACCTGCAAGCCTATGTAGCTAGTCGGTGGTCCATGCACTCACTCCTGGGGTTGGTATGTGCACCGCAGAGATATCCAGTACGACGCTGATGCAGGTCGTTCGGGACGCAGCGCCTACCCAGGTACGAATTCGCGGGCATCGCTGTCCCGTGTTACGCACACGCTGCGGTCTGATATGTCCCATTATCCACGTCCGAACAGCGGTATTCACGGCAGTGTGCACTATCTTGGGGCTCCCGGACATCCTGCTGACCAGACTGATCTCCAACAAGACGAAACCACGCCATCATGCGTCTCTCGGGCGACATTCCTACTCTGCCTGATGGGCGAGCAGGGACGTCATGATCGTTGTCTGTCCGAGTTCTACTGGTGGACGACGCTTGACCTCATGGCACTGAACAGCCACCTTTTTCTGCCCTATCCACACCAGCTCGACGAACCACCATATTGTATATCAACATCGCGGCAGGTCCTGCACATTCGTAGGCCTCCCAATGTTCCGAGACACTTCTCCGCCTTCCCTATGTCGAGAACAGAAAACCGGACTATTTCATGACACCGATCAATGCCCTGCGTACGGAGAAGAGATCCGAATATCGTAAGCCGGTGGAGGTTCGGGACATGGCTCCTGGGAAAATACGGCCCAACAGATCGGGGACGTGGCCTCGGGCATGGATTCGTACGTCGCGCCCGATAAACGAATCAGATGCCGATCATAGTCGGAGAAGGGGTGCTGTCCCGGCTTGACGCGCAAAGCTGTTCACGTCGCTTTCTTGATTGAGCGCTAATTTGTGTGGATGGTGATGACCAGATAGAGGCCTATGGTGCGTTAGATCATGGGGCAACCAGATGGTCCAAGGTCTGAAGAGAATGTCAAGGTAGGAGGCCTATCTTGGGCGGTTCTCGTGCGGTAAGGACTTCGCGGTTATGGGTACCCTTTCTGAAGGCAAGAGACAAGAGTTTCAATCGGGCAAGGCCAGAGACGGAGAATTGGTAGTGGTCTTGAAGGAGTCTGACTAGTATACGGAGCACTGGATTAAGATTTTGTCCTTCTTTCCACCCGAGGAAGGACGCACCGAGACTTGCATATTTGAGAGGGACGTTTGAACGGCGAGCAGAGTTTTCATTACCCCGAACAAAGAACATTGTGATTACTGGTGGATAAGACGCAGGATATACGAGACTTGGAATGATTGCTGACTGCCTGGCTTCGTACCTGTTGTGCGAGGAGGAAGCAGGGTTCGGTCAGCTACCGTGACCCGCTCCGACCATCTTTAGTGCGGAGGAACGAGGCTGGAGGAAAGGATCCTAGACCTAGGGGGTGACCGGCAACCAGAGTCGAGTCTGACTGGCGAAGAGTGACGACGGAGACGCTATGTACCCTGTTGGTTGGCCTTCGGTCTCAGCGGGACGATAGAAACAGTGCATGAACCCAAGCCATCAACGAGGAAGACCTGACTGCAAGTATAAAAAGCGGCGTATTCTTTTGAAGCTGCGTTTGCTCTGACAGTAGCGCCAGCACCGTTATACGAGGAGACAGTCATGTTGCCTTCACGGAGACGTGGTGAGAACCGAGGAGACTGGAGCCACAGACCGAACGATAAATGATAGCTTCCAGCTGGCCAAAAAAGGGATGTCCGAATGATGCGAGTATATGCGAGCTATTTTCATGTGCGCAGGAGCATATGCTTCCACGCTCCTCAGTAACAAGAAGATCGCATACCCAGATCGTAACAGAACCACAGGCAAATGCAGATCCAAGATTTACAAAGGAGGGTGCACCAGATAGCGAGTAGCCGGGCGTACACATACGCATCTTCTAAGCCCTATGTTCTGCTCCAGTGCGCATCCCGACGCCCATCGCTGGGGTGGATCTTCCTGCTGCGAGTGCAGTTCAGACGTCCAAAGGCACAGAAGGACAGTTCGACAGGGGACTTGACACTGGTTGAGGGTGCGTGTGGCGAGAGCGGGCGGAGGAGATGGAACAGAGCAGAGAGGCAAGAGCGTCGCTTATATAGGCTCGTGCACACGCCTTTTCCTGAAGTGGCATAGCGTTGCGCGGCAGACGCGTGACGGACGTGACTTGCTGCTGCCTATCACGTGATTTGTCCTCTTCCTTTGCCCAGCCAACTCTTCGTGGATTCATCAACGATCGTTGGTTCTGCGCAGTTACTGAACCCACAGCACTTACTTGAAATATCAAAGCTGCAAGCGTGAACTGAACGTAGTGGCCCGGTTACTGTCGTCCTGCAAGTCCGCTGGCATTTTACCAATGCCATCTGTGGTATATTTGTTCGAGCCATGTCGTCCTGCTTGCTACGGTCGGTTTGTCAATTTTATTCAGTTTGCGACTTCCATCTTCAAGGGTGAAGCTTGAAGGCCCATTATCTTCCTGCTGCGCTGTCCCTGGTGCATACCATATCTAACCACCGTGAACCTCGCTGCTGCATATTGGTGGCCGGGCAACAGACTTGCGAACCTCGTAAGCTATGTCCCTGTCTCGTACCTTTCGGCTCTGAGACTGATACGAATTCTGCAATCTATCAGCTCTATTCCGTGACGATCGTATGTCGGCGTTCTCTTATTGTTCCGACCTCAGGTTCCCAATAGTTGACTATCAACCGGGGTGGTCAATCATCCATTACAACGAGCCAGAATATGACTTAAGACGTCGTACCAGGATATCACCAGCTCATTCGCCCACACCACCTATAACACCGGATTGCAGACCGATCAATCATGCAGCAGACTTCCTCTTCCAGCCAGCCTCGTCCTTGTGAGGATGCGCCGTTACGTGACAACACCTCAAGCTTTGTCATCTGCGCGATCTCCCTGATCAAGCCGAAGCGTTCATCATACCTGCTGGTCCTCCTGATATATGCAGGAACGCTTCCGCTGCGCACCATTCTATCACTGTTCTATTCGGGACCTCGCAATTCCCGCCGGTGACTAGATAATACAGTTCGGTCCACTCGTGCTAAGCATCATTACTTACGCTCGTCAGTAGGGATCTTTTGTACCATCTCCCCCAAGAGTATCGCGTTCTCTGGAGCTCGCATATCGCTCTTGACAAAGCTGACGACCCAATCCCTACGTGAGCAACACTCGCCGGACGTATCTCTGCTCCGGTCCCTGGCCCTGGATCGCAATACCTACGGGTACTTACACTTCTACCGCTCACTCAGCCCGGAATGTCCATTCTACCTCCTGCTCCGTCTTCGTGAGCGCCTACGACACTGAACGCACTGGAACATGTCCCGCCATATCCGACAGTACGCAAACTCATCTTCTCTGCTATTACTAAAGGTCACGTCTGTTTGGCAGTCGATCATCATCCGCCTCACCTGGACACACCCCGCGATCCGGTGATGCTGCCCAATAGGCGGTGGGCGTGAGTAAGCTCCACCGCCTTCGTGGCGTTACACTGCAATTTTTCTAGGGGTCCGTCGAGAGATGGACTGTTAAATATCAAGGGACGACACCCATGCAAAATTCGATCGGGGACACGCCTACCAGCGGATGACCCGTTTCTGAGGTCCGGAGCGGGTTCCCATGTCGTACGTATACGTACGGCTCTGGCGCCCATCGTTATTCCATGCGATCTGCGTCAGGTCGGTCTATCTATAGGCAACTTGTGAGTGGGAGCCTCGGCTGTTCTATCTTCGGTCGCCGATCAGCTACCTACTCCGTCCGCAGTGTAGCAGTTCAGCCATGGAGTGCCGGTAGCTTTGCGCTCTATGACCGACAGCCCCGGCAGACGGAGTACAGCGGGTCACCGTCTCGAAGAAGGTGCGCTGTAAAGGCCGATTCTGAATCCTTTGTCTCCTGGGTCTGTAAGGCATCTGAGAATGCGCCAGCTTCCGGTAGACCGATGCCGCATAATTCGCCCTGTGGTTGGGAGGCCTAGTGTTGACACTGGACAGAGAATGCGAGTCCTGATATTCTTCTGTTCACGCTTGCATTTGCTTTGATGGTAGATGTGTGTCTATACCTTTAAGTGTGTTCACGTCACACTCAAGAGCTGCACCCTGCGGTAGTGCAGGGTGACTTCATGGAGATCGTCTCGGACCACAAATTGTGACGTAGCAGAGCGAACCAGAAGGCTGCCTTACCGACTTGCAGTGGGCCCCTCCGCACGGGCGTGATTGCGTTGGTTAGGCTCATGCCTTTTCTTTGGCCCTTTGATACTTATATAACTATCAACACCAGTATTGCCCCATGGCTGAGTTGGTTACAGCGTCCGACTGTTATACCTTGTGCATCGGAAGGTCGTGAGTTCGAGCCTCACTGGGGCAGTCATCGCGCTATGAGTTTCCTTTTACTCATTTTATCAACATTAGGCGGAAGTGGGCATATCTTCAAACGGAGAATGCCACGGCTCGGTCTATTTCGCAAATCGTTTCTGATGCCGCAGTACCAGTGCCCATCATGCTTGGTCCATCTCTGCGTCCGTAGCTGGCTCAGCGGACTTCCACCAAGCCACAGGGCCGAGACCCTGTTCAGCGATAGAACACTGCAAGCACAGAATTCATGAGTACCAGGAGGGAAGCAACATCACAAAGCCAACGTACGGTGACGGTATACGGAGCTCTGCGTTCACGCTCAATACGGACTCCTTCCGTCGCTTTCGGTGGGCCAGGCTCATCATCATAGAATTCGTCTGTTGCGCATCGCGTCATGAGCTTCGACATAACCCTATTCCGTATAATGGGAGCCAAACTAACCCATCTCTACACGCACACGCAGAACCTCGCCCTTGTCGATGTACATTCGGGAGGTGGTGGGCGAATCAAGGAGCTCGTGTGTGGAAGGTGCGGAGGCGTCTTCCGTGGCAGCTTCAGGGAGCCAGAAGTGTGCTCTCTCGTTTGGGTCGCTGAGAAGAGTGTATTATTATCTGCACTGGATATATTGAGAGGACGTACAATGCCGCGGGTTGTGGAAGGTAAGCAAGGGGGACGTATACGTCGTCAAAGAAGCCGAGGGTTACTTCTGTGTCTCAGTATATGGGTAGGAAGGAGCGGTTAGGGGACGCACACCGGATACCCTCCTCGTCCGATGATTTCACTCTGGCAAGGATGACTTCCGATGCAAATGGTCGGAATACAACCATCCTAAATGTCACTAGAGATGCATCATCGTCAGCGTACGTCCCATACGCTCTCATTCTATCCGAGTCAGAGGGATACTCGCCTTTATACCACAGACACCCATCGCCGTACCTCACTCTCCCCTCTCCTGCTTCCACCAGGTCAAATACAGCTATACATAATCCCACCTCGTGCAGGACTCTATTAGCATACTTTTTGTTGATAGCGGCTATGAGTGCTTGTTCGGGCGGGAGAGCGAACGCGGCGGGGAGAATGGGGAGGGTGTCCTTCACGATGGAGAGTTGGAACATGTTAGAAGTAGCGCTATTTCGTTATATGATGGTCCCTTTTTGCGTAGAATACCAGCATATAAATGGAGGGTAGATATTAGAGTGCATATGATTGTGGCTGAAAATGCTCGATAATTGAGAAGCGCGACGCGACGCGTTGCGGAGTTCGAAAAGTCGATCTTGTCCTTCCCTTGAAACTGAAGCTTTGCGGCTCTGTCTTCTTATGACCGGACTATCATGAGCTTCATCAAAGTCGCAGGTGGCCCTCGCCTGCCATTACGGACGCGGTCTCTTCAGACAAGCGCACACACTGTTCAAACGAACGCCATGGTACATGTCAAGCATGTCACCGCTACAAAAGCGGGAGAAGGTCCCTTGTCTGGTATGAAAGTTGCCATCAAGGACAACATATGTACGAAAGATATGCCGACAACGTGCTCCTCTGAGATGCTTCGAGGTATATTCCCAATCATGGTTCCATCGAACCGGAGACTGATCCCGACCAAGACTTCACTTCACCCTTTGACGCAACCGTGGTGAGTCTACTGCACCAGGCAGGCGCGCATATTGTCGGCAAGACAAATTGCGACGAATTCGGGATGGGGTGAGATTCATGGCTCGAGAACACTTCACGACCTGAACGCATCATCTTAGCCAGCTCTCTCAATACACATTCCATACACGGCCCAGTCATCAATCCGTGGAAATCTCTATCTTCCGATATTACACCCAGATCGGCAGGGGGAAGCTCGGGCGGTTCGGCTGCAGCTGTCGCTGCAGGCCTATGTGATGTGTACGTGCCTCTCTAGTGCACCTCCGTTTGGGACTCATTGTTATGTAGGGCACTGGGAACGGATACAGGTGGATCAGTCCGTCTTCCTGCGTCTTACTGCGGTGTTGTCGGTCTTAAGCCGTCCTACGGACTCTTGAGCAGGTACAATTCGGTCTTATTGATTTAACATACTATATAACGCTATGGTGTACAGGTGGGGAGTCGTATCATACTCCGATTCCCTGGACTGTGTCGGCATCCTGACACGCAATACGAAGGATATTGCTGATGTCTTCCGTACATTGCCCTCCCCCTCTATCTCTGTACCTCCGACTAACCAATTTTGTATCGTCCTAGCTGTCCTAAATGATTACGACGCGAAAGACCCTACCTCCATTCCTCTCCCTGTTCGCGCGAAAGCATCAAAATTGCTCTCAGTGCACACCTTCTCAAGATGGAATAGAGACGCCTCTTACCTTTCAGGTCTCCGCATAGGCATTCCGCAGGTCTGTCGTTGTTAGGCCGAAGTCGGCATTCTCTACTTATGGGCCCTTGCTTGTTCACATAGGAATACTTCCCTGCGGAGATCCAGTCATCTGTTGTGAGTCCGATCCGGGCATTGTTTACGGAACTCAGAGGGCTAGGCGCAACGCTCGTACCTGTGTCTCTTCCGAGCACTTCATATGCGCTCAGCGCCTATTATGTCATTGCTAGTGCCGAGGCCAGCAGCAACCTGGCACGATTTACAGGCATTGAGTATGGTGTGTGGCCAACCAAACGCGCGCATTCTCTCGGCGCTGACTTTCTTGTGACTTTATGTAGGGACCCACGTGGGCCCTCCGCCAGAGGCTGACCTCACCAAGGCTTCTCGTGTGTACGCGCACTCACGGTCGAATGGCTTTGGGAGGGAGGTGCAGAAGCGTATCCTGCTCGGGACGTACGCTCTCAGCGCAGAGTAAGTTGATTGATTAACTCTTCACTGGCTTTGACTAAGGATTCCGTACCAGTGCGTTTGATAACTACTTTCTGCAGGCTCAACGCGTCCGCAAGCTCGTCAAACGCGACTTCGACCACGTATTCGCAGTCCCGAATGTCCTCTCATCTTCGCCGTCGGAAGCGAGTAGTCAATCCAAAGTCGACGTAATCATGCATCCGTCCGCCATCCGCACCGCGCCTCCTATCGATTCAGGGTCTGAATCACTGGACACCTACGTGCAGGACACGCTGACGGTCCCCGCGTCGCTAGCAGGCTTGCCCGCGTTGAGTGTGCCTGCTGGGACGGCTGACGATGGCTGGCCGGTGGGCGTGAGTGTCGTGGGACAATGGGGATGTGATGAGCTGGTCCTTAGGGTTGGGGAGATTGTGCAAGCCGTCACTGCGGGCAGAGATTCACAAAGCTCGAGTAGTGACTAGGCTTTTGATGCTTGTTGCTGGACCAGGTGGGCCGTTTGTAATAACGTTATGAAGTTCCCTGACGTCGGGCTTTTATGGGGGTTGACGCAGCTATATCTATCATGTATTTCACCTGCATTTGAGATACAAGTTGATGACAGGCTCGATGTTATAAATGACAGTGCCCCGGATGGCTCGCTGGGACGGTTATTAAGCCAGCGGCGAATACACCTAATGCATGATGCATTGATGGGTTGGCTGCAACGCTTCGGAAGCAAAAACAGTTTATGGTATGCGTTAGGCTGCAGTGATATTCCTCTGGTCTGCGAATTGTGGCTACAACGAATGCTTTGCAGATTTGGTGCACCCTAACCCGCTGTCATCCTCCTTTCTCATGTCGGTTGGCCTTCCTAAACACCTCGGATATGCCGTCAACTATTTGGCATTTGGATTCATAGTTTCCGTCCCACCTGCGTGAACACAAGTGCCCATGATCGACGAATTGCTTCCGCGCGCGTTTATCTTATATTATCACCGTGCACGTGGGTATGGGAAAGTTGGGGAATTTTGTCTTCGCCGGAGACGTACGCTCGGCAAAGTCTAACGAAATATACTCAGTCGAGCCGTATATTACAGTCATGTCCGACGAACCCCCTCCACCAGTGGCCAGCCCTGCACGGAATAGCTTTCTACCTGCAAAGTCATGGCACCATTTTGTCGCTGGTGGGTAAGTGTAGATTTATCTACAAGATTGAACTCGGCATTGATAGCAAGTTAAAACTTAGACTTGGAGGAATGTGCGGGGGTATTGTGACAAGTCCATTCGACGTCGTCAAGACCCGATTACAGTCGAGTCTTTACCAGGAGCAGCACGCGAAGCTTGCAGTGCCAGGAGGGGCGGCGGTAGAAGTCCGAAAACCGGGAGGTCTTTTGTGGAACTTTGTCGAGACGGCACATATCATTCGGTGCGTTGCTTTAAGCTCTTATCGCTCGTTTTCTGATCTTCGAGCAGAGATATATACCGCGACGAGTCGCCACGGGCCCTCTTCAAAGGCCTTGGTCCCACACTCGTCGGCGTCATCCCCGCCCGCTCCATAAATTTCTTCACTTACGGCAACGGCAAGCAACTCATCGCCACACACTTCAACAACGGTCAGGAAAACACTCTTGTTCACCTCACCGCTGCCGCTTCCGCAGGCATCGTCACCAGCTCCGCGACGAACCCCATCTGGGTGGTCAAGACTCGCCTGCAGCTCGAGCGCGAGGCCCACCACATAGGGAAGAGAGCACTGGGCGGCAGTTGGTACACCATCAAAAAGATCTTCCGCGAGGAAGGCGTGCGGGGCTTCTACAAGGGCCTGAGCGCGAGCTACCTTGGCGTCACGGAGGGCACGATCCAGTGGACGTTGTACGAGCGGCTGAAGAAGCTCACCAAGAACACGGAGGGCAAGGGCGGCGGCACGGAGTGGCTGGGCATGCTCGGCAGCGCAGGTACGGCAAAGTGCGTTGCGAGTTTGATCACCTACCCGCACGAGGTCCTCCGTACGCGCCTACGGCAGCCTCTTGTCGATGGCAAGGTCAAGTATACTGGTCTACTCCAGACATTCCGGCTTGTCCTGGCGGAGGAGGGTGCGCGCGCGCTGTACGGCGGACTCTCAGCGCACTTGATGCGGGTGATCCCGAATGCGGCGGTCATGTATTCCATATACGAGGCAGTTCTGCAGTGGAGCGAGGGGCAATAGCCGGGTTGCGACC